ACCCAACCGTTCGTAGCGAACTAGAGTATTCCTTCAATCACCTTAGCTCAATCCTAGTGCTACAGATGTTCATGTGGTCGAGTTGAAAAACACATTATGCGGCAGAGGTTGCCGGCGGGCGTTCTCCACCAACAGAGCGAGAGCCTCCGGATCCCCTGTTCACGAGTTCGACCACATTACGCCATGAACATGACTGATTGTTACTTGAGCGCTGGGGCCTTTCCTGACCTGGACGGATGGTGGGCGATGTCATCTCCTTCTCGTGGTACCGAAGGCAATGGTGGAAGGCTCGCTTCTTCTCATAGAGGAATGCCTCCACAAACTAACAGAAACTAGCCTAGGTCCTTATTGTGTTTTGTCACACTCGTAACTAAACGCTTCTCCCCCCCCCCCCCCTTCCGCCGAACCACGGCGGCATTTATGTAGAGCGGTTGGCGATTCTCCGATCAATACGTATTCGCCAAACCACTGTTTCGCCAGGGTCACGAACTGTGAACAATGCCTGACGGGTGCCGGTGGTATCGCAGGTTTCCATGGATGGTCTACCTTCAGTATATGAAGGAGAAAGCCACCTGGCGTGTACTTTTCGCAGCGTTTGCCATTATTTTAGCTCCAAGCAACTGATAAGGTTTCTTTGCGAACGTCCGGTCAGGTATACATGAGACAAGTTGGCGCTCTTTGGATAATGTGGGAGGAGGAATTTTCCCTGGATCGGGTTACTATGCAAAGTCATGTAAAAAACTGAAGCTTCAAAATGCATCATTTTCAATTCTTCTCAGATTGTACAGGGACGGGGGCAAAAAAAGATGTACAGGGACGGGGGTAAAAAAAGACACTTTCGGCCGAGTCACATATCAGTAAAGTTTACGCAGCCCAGACAGAAGATGGATACGAGTACCAGGGCGGAAGATACCCAAGATGTTCCTCGATAAGCAGGAGCAGGCTCTCGTCCATCACCTTCATGTACACCAAAATATGAAGCCATCTCCAATCGCAGCCTGACTGGAGAAGGCCTATGGAATTCACGTCACCTCCAAACAGCTGCGAACTTCTTGTATGGAGTCACCCATGGACAGCTACCTGGGGACCAGCACTCTTGATCTGGGAGACCCGGATGTTCCTGGACTGGGGAAACCGATATTTTCTTCGTGGTTCCCGAACTGAAAGTGAACGCTGATTGTTACATCGAACAGCTCGAGGAAAATACCTGCCTTAATGACTCGCCTGT